AACACTGTGTCAGTATCTTTCTCACACATCACTGTCTCAGTATGTTTCTCTCACATCACTGTCTCAGTATGTTTCTCTCACATCACTGTCTCAGTATCTTTCTCACACATCACTGTCTCAGTATGTTTGTCACACATCACTGTCTCAGTATGTTTGTCACACATCACTGTCTCAGTATCTTTCTCACACATCACTGTCTCAGTATCTTTCTCTCACATCACTGTCTCAGTATCTTTCTCACACATCACTGTCTCAGTATGTTTGTCACACATCACTGTCTCAGTATCTTTCTCATACACCACTGTCTCAGTATCTTTCTCACACATCACTGTCTCAGTATCTTTCTCATACACCACTGTCTCAGTATCGTTCTCACACATCACTGTCTCAGTATCTTTCTCACACATCACTGTCTCAATATCTTTCTCACACAACACTGTCTCAGTATCTTTCTCATACACCACTGTCTCAGTATCTTTCTCACACATCACTGTCTCAATATCTTTCTCACACATCACTGTCTCAATATCTTTCTTACACATCACTGTCTCAGTATCTTTCTCACACACCACTGTCTCAATATATTTTTCACACATCACTGTCTCAATATCTTTCTCACACACCACTGTCTCAATATCTTTCCCACACATCACTGTCTCAATATCTTTCTCACACACCACTGTCTTTGTCTTAGTGTATATGGTGCTATCATTTTGTTCACATCATGGTCATGGCTTGGTGATCAACTATCGGCATGTTCCTATTCACGTGATGCCAGGAAATACTTGCAGTGCACTTACAGACTGAGATTTACTCGAATTGAGTATCTGGGAAATTATTAGAAGCTTATGAAAAAATGGCGTATATTTAAAATTAGTTCTAAATTTAAGATTGCTCAAGAAGCCTGGCAACTGATACGTTTGTTTTTTTGAGATGCTTGAAGTTTATAAGATTCATTATTATAAGAATAAAGAATACATTTGATCGTAATCTATGGCTTGCAGTATGATTTATTTTTTCTTTGCATGGCAAAAGTTGGAATAAAAAATAACATTTTTCCTGGAAAATATTGGCTGTTTAAGATGGAAACAATTCTGCCCAACAGTGAGGAAATCGTCATAACACGAAGAAACGATAGAGCTCATCTTTCCTATAAGAACTCAATTTTGACAGCAATGAGGCTAGTATCATTTCAACTAAAAATGACAAAAATATTCCCTAAAAATAAATAATGAATAATAACGTTACTAAATAAACCAATAGAGATGCACGCAACCACAGTCTCAGCCGATGGCGCGCACGTGATAATAAAATATATGACTCCCTTATTTAGTTTTATGCCGCATTCATGATGGCGGTCCCATATAGTAAATATCGCATTTATTTTATTATCACGTGTGCGCTAGCTGACTGTGCACGCAACGTACGTCTTAAACAAATTAAGGGAATTCTGCAAAGTATTGATAGGTTACTGCAAAGTTTGTTTTTTTCCTGCAAACAACTTTGCTGCGAATTTGCTGATTTCTGATTGTTTGTATGTAAATTAGTTTTTTCTGCCAAGTCAACGTATGTTTCTTCATTTTTGATCGAAGTTGTTTATTGCAGCATAAATATGGGTGACATTATCTTGTGGTCACGTGGTCCTGTGCTTGTTGATCATAGGCAGCCGATGTAACAATCAGTTCTTCAATGAGTTGTTTGCTTCTAAACCAATGATGAGCATATAGATCTAGATAGAAATGTCATTGGTGTACGCACATGTATTGACAATTGACAATTTTACCATGACAGACTGATAATGTACAGAGATTGTTGTTAGGGTTATCTTGATTACTACAACTAGAATCATAGGTGTGTAACTTTTCATTCATAAGTAACTCTGTGCACCCTGTGTTTATTGTAGTCGTTAAATTCTGTAATAGTGGCGTTGCAGTGTACCTCATGCAGTATGTTTCTATCATCCATATATATCTCTGAGCTGAGGTTTTCAACAGCACTGATATCATCAGTGATCATCAGCCTTGCGTGGAGCATCACCCTTCCTGACTATTAGTCTGACCTTCATCCATGTTCTATGCACACAAACTTGTTAACGAAGTATTTACGCAATTCAATCTCCACGTATGCACTTCAACGTCGCGACCAGAGTCTAAGTTTCTCCTGAATTGATCTGAGGCAGTGCTGTGATCGATTTCTGTTTTGATAAAACGCCCACTTTAATTATATTTACAATCTCCTTGAATACAATGTCATATGGTAATTCAGCTGTGTTACCTGAAAAAATCTTCCGTGCTGCACTGATATATAAGCAGTATAGCATGAACGATGGTATCATATGCAAATAAATCAGGCTAGAAGTCATTCGTAGGCTAATTACATTATCATGCCTTGCAGAGACTGCGGCGGGAAATCTTGTTTTTAGTACTTTGTCCTTCCCCGTGCTTCGATATTTGAATGAGTATCACGTCTAACATAGAAATGATCCCTCTATGTATGCGTCCACCTTTCTAGTACTGCCTGTGGAGATTGAGGTTTGGGGGGGGGGGGCACATGAGGTTTTCAAAGATGTTTCAGGGTTGATTTACATGACGATCTTCATACTTTATTGTATGCAGCACTAAACTCTCCCGTAAAAATACCCTCTTTGAAAGGTGATAATCTGCTATAAACATCATCATTACAAATTCCCGAAGTAGCTTTGAAACAAATAATACAGTGGTTTGCATCAGGTTGATTAATGTTTGACCGTTTAATTAGCTCATTGGCTCTGGTGGCTCTAGAATAATGATTTTCAACATTTATGAAAATCTATGAGCAATTTCATAAAACATCTAGTCGTGTGCAGAAATTGAACGAAAAACATGTGATTTCAATAAATAAATAAATAAATTGTTTGTATATTAATGTACTTTATAACAATTAAATCACGACAAAAGTTACATACCATGTAACCATGCAAGACAAACAAATGATGAGAATTATACAAGTAATATCAATATGGATAATATAGTCACATCACGTGATTAATGATAACACAAATATGATATTAACCATAATGAATATAATAAAAATTATTTACATGAACTTATTATGCCTACCTTGCTAAAATAGTAAAACACAATACATTAAATGGGACTTTCAGTGTCAAAATAGAGTGCACCTGTGATATATAATTTCTGATACCTTATGTGGAGGGGGGGTTCACCTCTCAGACAAAGCTTGGGTAGCCACTCTGTACACGAGTCGAAATACACCAACAATTATAGAGTGGCATCACAAGTACGTTCTCGTTTCCATGGTAATGTGTTGAACTAGTACATGTGCTCAAAGAAAAATAATATTATCGCAAATTTATGTCTGACGATGACACAGGAAATTATTTTAGCAGAAGATATAATTTCCGATTATTCGTTCGGTCATGCTTGGATCTAATGTTGAAGTATACTTTAGTGTTAATGAAAGAAATGTATTGCCGTTGGTGGCGCTGTCACTATATATTGTCAAATGTGATGATCACATTGTACTCGTATTTGGAAAAGTAAGCTATTCGTTATTAAGGCAAGTTATATTAACAATAGATACTTAGAATATATATTTAATAATATATGCATGTAATATATAGTTGATAATAGATCCTTGTAATGTATACTTAATACTAGAAACTAGGAATATATACTTTATAATAAATACTCGGAATATATACTTTATAATAAATACTAGGAATATATACTTAATAATAGATACTAGGAATATATACTTAATAATAGATACTAAGAATATATACTTTATAATAATTACTAGGAATATATACTTTATAATAAATACTAGGAATATATACTTTATAATAGATACTAGGAATATATACTTTATAATAGATACTAGAATATATACTTTATAATAAATACTAGGAATATATACTTTATAATAAATACTAGGAATATATACTTTATAATAAATACTAGGAATATATACTTTATAATAAATACTAGGAATATATACTTAATAATAGATACTAGGAATATATACTTTATAATAGATACTAGGAGTATATACTTAATAATAGATACTAGGAATATATACTTAATAATAGATACTAGGAATATATACTTTATAATAGATACTAGGAATATATACTTTATAATAGATACTAGGAATATATACTTAATAATAGATACTAGGAATATATACTTAATAATAGATACTAGGAATATATACCTTATAATAGATACTAGGAATATATACTTTATAATAAATACTAGGAATATATACTTTATAATAAATACTAGGAATATATACTTAATAATAGATACTAGGAATATATACTTTATAATAGATACTGGGAATATATACTTTATAATAGATACTAGGAATTTATACTTTATAATAGATACTATAATTTAAAATAGATACGTAGGAATATACTAGTATACTTGATAATAAATACTTGGAATGTATACTTGATAGTATATGCTTGGATAATAGATTACCGTTTCTCGGGTTCATTCTTCACGACGAAGATATTGCGACAGAAATATTACTTTACCTCGGTTACACGCGATCAATGTCAAACTTGAAAAAAGTGAAAACGAGTCACATATTTGTATTTTCAAGCGCCCTCACAGGGGGTAATTGTGTATTTTGTGATGACTATAAATTATAAGGCCGCGAGTGACGTCACAACCTCGAAATGAATACGCGTCAAGATTACGTCAAGGCGCTATTCAAGTAGTGTAAACGGCTTAAATACTGGAAACGGTGTTCATGCGTGTCGTTATTTGAAGAGATATCATAAAGTTTAAGAATATTCAAACAGATTTATTTATCATTTAGTGGTACATCTTTATGGTGACATCACGTGATATTAATGATGTCAACGCAAGTGCTTACGATTGGCTTGATGTATTACGGTATATTCTATATTTGGGAACATGTAGTTCGATGTGTCAATATATAGATAATATGAATAGTTCTATAAATGATGATATACACACCGTAACACGTACACGACACATGCTGTTTATTCATTTATTTCCATGTAATTTGTTCATAATTGCCTTACCACATAAGATAATATTGTTATGAAAAATATGGCTTACAGATTATGTAAAACACCTACACCTATAATAAACTAGTGATAACACAATGAAGTGACAACAGTAAAATGACTATTGTGCCGATAACAAGTAGTGAAAACAGAAAAATGATCCAGTGATACCAAAAATAGTGAACACTGGACCTGGTCATAAAACCAAGTAGAAATCACAAATATTATTTTATATTAACACGAGGTAGTGAAAACAGTAAAATTATCTAGTGACAACACGAATTAGTGAAAAGGATAAAACGAATCTAGTGACAACACGAGGTAGTGAAAACAGTAAAATGATCTAATGACACACGAAGTAGTGAAATGGATAAAATGGTCTAGTGGCAACACGAAGTAGTGAAAGAAATAAAATGATCTAGTGACAACACGAAGTAGTGAAAGGATAAAACGAGTGTAGTGACAACACGAGGTAGTAAAAACAGTAAAATGATCTAATGACACACGAAGTAGTGAAAGGGATAAAATGATATAGTGACAACACGAAGTAGTGAAAGGGATAAAATGGTCTAGTGACAACGAATTAGTGAAAGGAATAAAATGATCTAGTGACAACACGAAGTAGTGAAAGGATAAAATGAATCAAGTGGCAACACGAGGTAGTGAAAACAGTAAAATGATCTAATGACACACGAAGTAGTGAAAGATAAAATGGTATAGTGACAACACGAAGTAGTGAATAGATGAAATGATCTAGTGACAACACGAAGTAGTGAATAGATGAAATGATCTAGTGACAACAAGAAATATTGAAAACAGCAAAATGATCTAGTGAAAACAAGAAAACGATCTAGTGATGATAACAAGTATTGAAAGAGTATACTAATATAGTGACAGCATACAGAGACAACACGATATAATGAAACAGTCAAATCTGTTAGTGACAACACGATGTAGTGAAACAAGAAAATGATCTAGTGATAGTACGGAATAGTGAAAACATGAAAACTGGTAGGGAAACACTAAACTAATCGACATTGACAACACAAAGTAGTGAAAACATGAAAACTGGTAGGGAAATACTAAACTAATCGACATTGACAACACAAAGTAGTGAAAACATGAAAACTGGTAGGGAAACACTAAACTAATCGACATTGACAACACAAAGTAGTGAAAACATGATAACTGGTAGGGAAACACTAAACTAATCGACATTGACAACACAAAGTAGTGAAAACATGATAACTGGTCTAGTGATAACAGGAAGTAGTGAAACAGTAATTAGTGTCGTAACAACACGAAGTGGTGAAAACAGTGAAAAAATATAGTGACAACACGAAGTAACAGGAAAACGATCGAGTGACAACAAATAGTGAATTGATTTTGTGATACATTCAGTAATAATTTTTTTAGCGAAAACAAAACATATGTCAAATGTTCTAGTGACAACAAAACATATGTCAAATGTTCTAGTGACAACAAAACATATGTCAAATGTTCTAGTGACAACAAAATTTGGAGAAAACAGGACAGTATATCTACAAGACGGAGTAATGAAAACAGAAAAATGACTATCTTTTATATATAATAATCTTCATCTCTTAGAACAATTATGTGAGAAAGAATGAATGAAAATCAATATAAATCTGTAAATATAAAACAAAAATAAAATCATGGCTTCCTTCATAACGTATCACTTGCAAAGCATTTTGGAAAAACGCAATGTAACATAGTTGTATATCGACGATAAAACTTAGTTAATATCGTATATATTGGTAGCTAGTAGGGTTGGTACTATTGATTGATAATCCTGTCGTCTAAAATAACGATTGTTCATTTTAACTATTCGTTTGTTGTTTATTTCATCCGAGAGGGAAACAAGACCCGCGGTATTCCAATTCAAATATAATGTAATGTTTTACGGGTTACTTTTACTTTTTTTGTGATACAGTGTTATTGAAATCTCTTGCTCACTTGAATTTGTATACGACCTGCGTGCCATGAGATTCGATGCCCCCATAAATCAGTATGTGTGTGCTATAGATCGTGTTATAGATAAGACTAAAGCTATCTTACTCTGTTCTATTTACGTAAATAGTGTTTACCAGCCATGTTTACAAACGTTAACGCCTTTTTCATTGGTCGTAATTGTTTCAGATAATGCGCATGCTCGGCAAACGAGTAATAACGTATTACAAGTTGGCGTGTACTGCGCAGCACGTCATGAATATAACCAAATATGGTAATTAATAGTCTGTCCACACTGATCATGTAAAAAGACGGCAAATAAGACCGGCTGTATTTGTAACATATAAACTTGCCTGGCAAACACGCCAAATATTTCAGCCATGTGTACGCCTTCACCTTAAAGCCCCGGACGTTACCCAAAAAACATATGTATATATATTTACTATTCTACACTACACTATCTTCTCAACTCCGGTTTTCCTTTTCAATTTTAGTATCGGTGAATGAGGTGTGGTTGGCTAAGTTGAGTTGTTTTGCTACTACTGTCTTTGACACGTCCCGGGTTCGAAGGTCAGGTGGCGTACACCTGGCTGGTACATATAACCCTGCATAATCCTAAAAATAATCTATAATTACAGCCTCGAGAAAAACGTTACTAAAATATGCCTGAAAAAAAATAAACCTGATAAATACATTGAATAATGGCACATTCGATTTGATAAATAAAAACGATTAGTCTAATGTCCATATTTGATGTCATGGCAACAAAGTGATCAGTACTGATTGTACTTTCCAGAGCTGAAGAAAATATATACAATGAAAGGAACTTCCAAAAAAATGATAAAATATATACATACTTAATGAAATCGAATGAACACTAGAGATAAATAAGACGCTAAAATGTATATCTAGTAGGTATATGACTAAGAAGTATATTTACACAGATAGATCTGAATGTTATCTATCTCAAACCAATATTGATACAAAACAGATATGTCAAGGAACGCCACAATCTGAGTTATACAATCTCTTCAGGCTACCCGTGAACGCGGTTAACTGTATTATTTTTTTAAACTAATGAATAGGATTTTGTAATTCGTTTTGGGGATTCGTGTTTGTACCGCTGTGTACAACATATAAAGTATATTTTATCCGACCAAAATACAGTGATAGTAGTGATGTCAAATTCACGTTGCTATGAAGTCCGCCATTTTTAAGCTTTGTGAAGTAAGAATAAACCACATCGATGGGTAGCCTGAAACACTATTATCTGTTCCGTCTAAAACATCTGCACAGTGCACTTGGTGGTGTAGGTCTCTATGCCAACCGTGCACATGTTATACCAGTATACGCTTCATAAAACGAAGGGTCACGCTGTATAGTAACAGATTGCTCAGCGTAATTTCCTGATATACATGTAATGTATTGCAACACTAATCTAGACAGAACCTATGGTTGAAACAACTAATAGAGAATAACTGAAAAATATATGTTTATTTCAAAGACTTAAAAATCATTGAATATTCGTCATTGCAAGGCACTTATTGGTGAACACCAACTGTTCTCAAATCGCGTAAAAAACCTACACCTAAATATATTTAACATATTTTTCAGATTTTTTTTGTTTATGTATAAAAAAACAATATATATATATATGTAAATGGAATGTTATAAAACAACGATAATCTGGACTCGTTGATTTTATAATTTATCGTATAAATAACAAGAAAAATGTGATATATACAAAGTTGCTCTGTGAATATATGTGCATATGTCCTCTCACACCAAGTCAAAAATGTCTCCACTGCTTTGAAACTTATATATAATGCTAATGTATAGGATTGATATCACGCTGTTTTAAAAAAAATACGGACGATGGAAGGCTTTGATTTGAAGCCACGCGGTGAACGCTGGGAATTCCTGGTTACATATTACAACACTTGCTATCTTTTTTCTTCATTGAATCGTCACCCAGCTTCATACCAATCTCCTGCACTTCTAAATCTTCACGTTCATGGAGACGTCTAAAATAAAATGTGTATAAATAAAAATGTATTATTTCGAATTTATTGTGTCTGTAATACTTGAATACAATAATTTCTCGATTTTGTTGTTAAAGAGCGGCAGTCTTTGTGCCGCGTCCTGTTTGATATGGGACTCATAGCGACGTATACAACGAGTGTAAAATACATTGTTTATTTACATGAAATTCGAACACGCGCTGCGTGCCGACCACCGCGCTTTAAGGTCCGCAGTTCATACCTGGCAAGTTCTGTGACAGCTTCAATGATTCCATCTCCCTCCTTGGCACTTGTTTCAAGAAACAGTGCATTATGGGCCTGTTTGAACAAAATATAGAACGTTATTAGAGATGAACAGCAGAATGTGAACTGTGGTGATAGCCAGGTGTACCAGAACGTGCGCTCAGATTGTCTCAGCTGAGACGAAATGGAATTCTCACCTTAGCTAATTTCTCGCCCTCCTCTGTCGATATACACCGTATTCCCTTGGCTGTCGTCTCGGCACGTGCATCAGTCTTGTTACCACACATTACGATCGGAAGTTCCTTTTGAGCTCCATCCTGAAAATTACGTAAACAAACGTCAAAACTTTGGTGGAAAACAGTGCCCACAAGACAGGAAGTAAAAATTAACATAAAGTGGATGGCGCTGTATTCAAAACATTGCTGTGAAAACTTACCGCAATCGCCTCTATCCAATCTCGTACATTGATGAAGGACCTCTCAAATGTGACGTCATAGAGAAGAAGAACGCCATCGGCTCGACGGAAGTAGGATTTGGCGATGCTGCGGAATCGTTCCTGTCCCGCTGTATCCCATAATTGAATTGTCGTCAACTTCTGATCAACTTCTAGGGTTTTCATTTGGAAATCAACACCTGTAAACAAAAGCGGACACTCATATAAAAAAACACTATATAAACTAATAAACTTGATTTACAGAATAATTTAAATATTACGTAACGAAAAGTGTTGCACTCTGGTCTGGTCATTGTGCAAGTAATTCTTTTTAATGCCATCATAATATTGGGACATCTTACCGAGAGTCGAGTTAAGATTGTTGTGGAATATTCCTTTACATAATCTAAGAATAAAACTGGATTTGCCAACAGCTGCGTCACCGGCCATTACTACTTTGTACATCCGTTCCGGCATGGCTGTGCTGGGAGTTATCGCCTGAAATTAAATTAAATTAAATTAAATTAAATTAAATTAAATTAAATTAAATTAAATTAAATTAAATTAAATTAAATTAAATTAAATTAAATTAAATTAAATTAAATTAAATTAAATATTATGTGAGGAGTATTTAATACTACGTGGTACTCTAATTCTAATACTAACCCTAAGTGGTATTTGGGGAAGCGCCCTCCTCCTGCCGCTCCCCGGGCGCGATGACCTCGAGTCGACACTTTTGACGCTCAGTGTGGGACTCGCTCGTCTCGGCGTGTTCATTGGTTCTGTCAGTGTGTTATTAGCACGTATAACAGTGACGTCAGTCTCCATACTGTTGTCGTCGCGGCAATTCTGAAACATACGCCAAAAACTGCTTTCATGGAAGTGTAACGACTAAATACGAGATCAAAACTGCAAAAAGTTTGATTTTTGTTTCTGTTTTTAAGAAACAAATCAAAAACTAGAAATATGTAGATTAACCAAAGGGATTACCTCTGCCTCGGATATAGCCTGCATTTGATCATCTTCGTATCTCGCAGGACTACCCACTCTGATGTCCTCGTCGATGCTGTTCGCTTCGTACTCGGAGTCTTCGTTTGGATCTCTCAACGTGGAATTTCCAGAATCTAATAATAAATGGACAAACTTTTATTTATAGACAAATACAGGTCATCACAGAGAGATTAATAAGTACTCGTACACAAGACAACTATTGTACCGATTAATAATTATATTCTGTATGCGATACACTATGAAACATCAAAAACCTGATATTTTTATTTGCATGTCCAAATAATTAGTGATGGAGGGTACCAAGTTGGTTCGCAATATATTATTGACTTTATGTTAAACTTATTTGGTCCAAAAATATAAACTTGAGTTTGAGCGTAAATAATGTATCGTATTCAGTCAACGACGTAACAATAACGCAACAAGACAATGTAAACTAATGACGTCACGTAATGCCGTAAATTGTGGACAGTGGCACACTGTATTACATAATAAGTATTATTTTTAATTTCAAAAATCGTAATGAGTTAATTTAATTAGAGCTATGTAACACAATAACAGATACAACTATAGTTAATATGCAAATGAGATGTCAAATATTCCGCCACCACTCACCAAGCCATTCTTCAATTATGAATGCTACATAGAATATTACGGGAAAAAAAGTAACCATGCATTACTCTGACATCCGGGAAACAATTACATCCGGGGTGTTTTATCAAACACCACCACCTTTGTTTGACCCCCCCAGGTTTGATAAGAGGGACAGTCTGTCTGATGATTGGATCCAGTGGGAGTGATATTTGTACTTAAAAGAGCGATGAGGATAAGAACAACAATTTCATACTGCATTTTTAATAATTGTTCATCGTGTTTGACAACAACCTACCGACATCCCAGTCCTCAAGGGTCCGTTGATATGGGGCCATCATTCCTCTCATCTGCGGATCGCACGCTAATAGACTATCATCTTCTATCGATGACGCCCTCGATGATTTGGTGCTTCGTGGACGTTTACTGTGGAGTAAAGTTTACAATGGTTATAATGGTCACACGTACCCCAGCGAGGCATACACATGACGTCACACACTTATTCAAATTGATATCGATTGATATTTGTTTGTCGCGGGCTGTGTTGAAATCGGATGAATATTGAATGAAGTGGACAAATCAGTAAAACGCCATGCATTATTATGAATACAATTATCTTCACATTAGTACCATGTGTCTTGATTTCAAACTAGCCCCCCCCCCCTAACATATTAACGATGCACATAATATATTGTAATGAACATATTCCATAAATAGAATTTACAATTTAGACATAGAACAGAAACAGAAAGAAAGAATACAGAAGCAGGTGGTGTGTAATGATCGTGAAATGTGTAACTTGACAGCTTGAGAATGACAATGCTTCTTAAAAACTGCCATTTTTGCACTTTTTAAAATCAGTTAAAGCGCGGTAGTCGTCGCGCAGCGCATGTACGACATTTGTGTTGATAAACATTGATTTTCCCACAATCCAGTGCGTTCTTCAAATGGAAATCACAAGTATGAGGTTTAACCTGGGCGCGACTTGCACTGATTACCGACGGTGACTCTTTCGATACCTTCCAATCACATGAAAATTGCCTAATTTAAGCTTGGAAACGTCTCAGTTCGTACTCGTTGATCTGCGCAACAGTCAAAGTTGCCATCTTTGTTTATATGATTCCCATATATCTCGCACATGCGCAGCGCGACGACCACCGCGCTTTAAATTCAGGAATTTTCTACTAATTCTTTAAACGAAATCTCCTAAATTTATCAAAGATAATAACCGTCATCAGTATACACTTTTTAAGAAGCTTTTGTTCATGTGATGGTAGCTAATTTAAGTGAAGTATGTGTGGTGGTTACAAAATGTGTTTCATTGTGATATTATTTTTACTCAGAAGGCATGCAACATGCAGTATGCAATGCAGAAGCCAGGGGCCGCGTACACCAAGCAGCGGGTTAGGTCAGAATATAAATGAAAAAGATTGAATGAAATGATTTTTTTTTTATTTAAAAGCCAAAAAAAATACAACATTCGTCATACCGATGTGAAAAATCCAATCCGTATATGCGTGAACCTCGTTTTGTATTTGATAATATACCAACTGTCTGTACACTGTGGAGTTTAAACACGTATCGTAGTTACGTAATATTCTATGCCCAAATAAGGAGACCCTCCACCACTATATATGCAGCATCACATATCAAGTTGGTGTTCCATCGCAGGGTAAAGATACATACCAACACAAGGGAAGGACAGTCATGCGCCTAGTAATGTCGATAGCTTTACATATCCAGTACAAGGGAGTAAGTGTATTACACATTTTACAATATAGAAGCAGGATATAAGGTCACATATATTACACTATACTGTACGCTAGCGGTGTCTTCTGATATAGAAGGAACATTTTACGAACACACATGGGAATTACTTACAAATCATTTGGCAACTCTTCGTCAATGTAGTCACTCATGAATGAACCACGTGACCCGGCTGCTCTAATAGATTTTATACTCTGGCGTGAAAAAAAAAAGATAATTAATTTCAGTATATTATTTGTACTACGAAGATACAGTGGAGCAGTACATCAAGTATACTTTACAAAACAATACTTGATAATTTATTGTTTCGGGTAATGTCCGAGTTTTAAATTGTTTAGTAGATTTTGCGTTTGTTTTACTACTCACCCTCTTTTGCGTCTGCTTGCTTGATTCCAGAGCTGCCCTCAGATCGTCGTTGGTATCGTGAAGTTTTTTATTAACTTCCCTGTAAAAGCAAGTAATTTCAAATATTGACAAAAGTAGATGGATTTTTAATTCTATTTCGGCAAAATATAATCTTAAAATTTCAGACTGTATTTGGCAAATTTACGAAAGGGGTACTCACTGCAGTAAATGGAGTTGACGAGTCAGGTTTTCTTGTTCATGCGCATACTCCATAAGTGTTCCCTTTTCACTGTAAATTAATATATTAGTATATAGTTATATGCACGCAAGTATGTAGACATTAAATATATAGCGCTTTTTGTGAACTATCAGTTTCCGTCGATATAAGTTTAATATGCTTACGTGGACAGTGAGCCCCTCTGTTCTTCGCACGTGGATTGCACGGTGTCGAGTTCAGTTCTCACCAATGCTAGATCGGTCTGTGTTTCAGTTAAGTTACTCCTCAGGTGTCTATTTTCTTGCATCAACTCTTCCACTTGTTTCCGGAGGTTGCTTAAAGCTTCATCCCTGCCAGTATCCCTCTGGAAACGGTTCTCCAGCTGGAGTGAAAACAAAACATATCATTGCTAAACAGAGAAGTGGTGGTGCTGCTTTGGGAACCCTCTAAAGATAATGATGGGTTTATCGAATTAACAAAATTATCAAAATACTTTTGAATTGCACCAGAACATTAACAAACTGAAGTTGTGTAATGTATTGGATTAATACCTTATGAAATCGTTTCAAGTTGGCCTGCAACTCCGATATTTCGTCTTCCATCTGGCGTCGAATTTCGAACTTTTCAACTTCCGCATTCTCCCTTTCCTGAAAAGTGAAATAATAAAAAAACAATTGTTAATCAATGTGTTTACATTCAATTGATAGGCTAACCAGAGGTATGTACACCGTTTCCCAAGCACGCACTGCGCGTGTTCATTTTTACCTCTTGCCGTATCCTCTGTTCTAATCGTAGCATCTGAGCGTCCATCTCATCTTCAAGTTGCTTCAAGTGGTCCTGGTGCATTTCATTGGACCTTTAAAAAATAAGTGTACTCGTAAGACAAAATGTAACCTCGACATCGAAGTATTCAAGTATATACAGTACACGCAAATAATAGTATGCACCCTACGAATACAATTACCAAGAACGGACATTTACACGATGAGTCCGCCCTCTAGCGACGTTAAATGAATTTTATTTCGTTCATACCTGCGCAGTGTTTTCTCGAGTCGCGTAACTTCAGATTGCTGTGATTTCAGATCCTTTGTAACTCCTATAATGATATTCTCAAAATGTGCTAATAACTGAGGAACTTCAGAGGCATGTAGTTGTTGGTATAATTCGCATACTTGTTCTTGGCTGAAAAAAGAAGAAATTCATAGTGTTTTACAACTGTCGCTTTTGATTACATATTGTATTTAATTATTTTTTCTAGCCCAGGGAAAAATACGTATATGTAGAATCATCTTCATGAAAACAAAATTGTATCTTTATAACAAAATGGCCGCAATTTAATTTTTTTTAAACGGGGCTTTATCATGGAAATTTGGTGACCTCATTAAGGAGGGGGTATTGAAATGGATCGTTTTTAGGAGAAACTTTATCTTTATGTCTCTAAAGTGTAAAACGTAACCAGACAAAAAACACAATTATTTGTAACAATTGAATACAACCCACTATGACATTTTGCAGTAATAAAACATAAAGTTATGCAAATTTGTAAAATGAAATTGACGACCATATGTTACAAAGAAAAGAATGCACAGTGTGTATTAATAGCACACTACCCACGGTGTTTTATAATAATATATTGACAAACACACATTTTGTAACTAAGAATCAGTTGACACGCAAATTAATTCACGTTTTTACCATATTGAACACACATTGAATATTTACTTATTTTTTATTCATTTTTAAAATTCATTATTTAAAACTGAAATTGTAAAGGTTATTATTGTGTGGTATGTTAATTTATTAGACTGGGTTCACGCGGCAATCTGTGGGGATAGAAAATGCTGGTACAGAGACCTATTGCAGCCGACTCAACGGCTTCTGTAACAAGCAAGCCTATTCACTAGAAAATCCCAAGGTTCGAATGACAAAGGAGCGTCAACCAATCAGATGTCCGCTCTCATTCCACCCGAGTTAGCACAGATGTTTGAGAAATAGAATTATAAAGTCACATTTGGTGTAAATTATTAATATATATATATATTTAATTTGTTGTTAGTTTTGGTGACAAAGCAGTTATGAGAGCGGGACACAGCATTTTATATTTATTTATTTCAACCTGACAATACACTTTTTAGTGAAATTTAATCACATAACTTAATACATTTACTTTATTTTGTTTTCTGTGGCTGTATTTATTTATTTCAACCAGTGAACACAATTTCCATGAAATTTAGTCACATAACTTGATATTTTTAATATACCATGTTTTTTGTTAATATTAACATAGCTGAGGCGTACGAAAATGATTATTTTTGTGGTTGTGTTTATAAATTTGCAAGCATAGTCTCACTGTTCACGACTGTGAAACTTTTCTAAATGACTGATTGATGTGTTCTTATTTGGAAAAAAACAAATATATTTCACTACAATAAGACGTTACAAAACACCCAGACCCTAAAACTCATCGTGTTAATTGGCCTGTCCGTTAGACTCATCTCAAATATACTATAGTGCAAGCGATTCCATGCAAATCGTCGTCACACTCACAACTTGAGATAAACTCAATATTATGACTGTTATCTTATTAGTTGATATCGATTTTTAATATTGTAAACCACGTCGATCAAACTAATTGAAAAGAGTAGACAATAGCGATCAATATGGCCCAACACATCGTCGCCATGGCTACACTTTTTATGATTGAAAATACCGTAATTCGTTTTTGTTGCGGCAGCGTTAACTATACACGCGAACATTGTCATGCACCTATACCCACACTGAACTACCCCAGTCGTTTACTTAGTCTGATAGCAAATTTACCATCAGCCATTTACCTTAATTTTTTTTTAACAATCGTTCACATTTTTTTAAATTTCAAAAAAATATATAAAAAGTAATGTGGTATTAGTGAGTCTATACACACAATTAAACAAAATTTGCATTTTAAATACCACGAACGGGAGTAATTTCAAACCATATGGTGTGGTAAGTATATATGCCATGCATGTGGCGACATCTTTCCAAAACTCGGTTATTCTCACTAAGTTTCATAGTTCAATATTTAAATATCATTTTATACGAGACTTTAATTATATCATAAGAATGGGTAGGTAAAATGTCCCAACGTATGTCTGATTAAATTTAGTTAAATTTTATATTCTTTTATGGCATTTATTGACCAAAATCAACATTTTCATGCTTATTGAAAAATATATTTATTGTTTTCTTCATTACTTATTTACACATTAACGTTCGACGTCACGCCACTTTGCGATGCGTCGCGCTGCGTTGCGCTGATGACAAATCGATTGAAAATTGACATTTTTAATCTTGCAATATTTAGATCTATCGAGATTTAGTAACCAACACAATGTAAACAAAATGAGTTACACATTTTCATGGTATGACTATCCTGTTAGCATGGGCACTTATGACTTGAAGACGAGGGCTATGCCATCATCACGATAATATCAAGGTTCCTCAACTTCAATAGAGACTGACAAACCTATATAAAGGCAACTTACACAGGCATTCCAACATTGCATTTCCGATCGCATCGATTGCCGCGTGGCAAGGGTCGCAAATAATGTTCTTCACTGAAGTCTCGTTGCTGGGTAACCTTTGAAAGAACCTTATTGAAATAGTAACCATACTAACCCAGATGTATGCTGGGAAACACGCCGCTGCGACCCCAAGCTAAGCACAATATGTGATTATAATTTTTTTTCACAGAGAGCTTCAGAAAAATCCACTTGATGCCAATTGATATTATTCTTTCATTGCCATGGTAACCAAACATTATCTCAAATTATCATCGAAATATATTACAGACATGTGTGCGAGCGGAAGAGAATGCTTCATGCGTTGATTCTGTATCTTAGTGACTTCAGTGCCTAGCATGTTCGTTTCTAAAACTATTTCCTGCAAATTCCGATAACTATCATCTTCCTGTCGCGCTATCTTGTACAATCCGAACCCGGCGATTTTTTGTTGTAAGAAATAATTATCACTATCTAGTATTTTCCCTTACAAACTGATAGTACATATTGTTATTGTATTTGACGAACATGCTTTACACTCTCAGTCCTAGTTCTTATTTTTTTGCTAGCCATACTATTCCTGGTCATGTGATGACATATCTTGAGATTTTAATCATTAAACTAATCGCAATGTACGTTACGCGTATTTCCATTGGTGGAAACTTATTCAATTTATGTTACGCGTATTCCCATTAGTGGAAACTTCGCGATACCTGGGTCACTTGATGCTGTCGGCACATATAACCGCACACGCGCGAAGATACGAACTAACAGACCGGCAACCAATTTTATAACGCCCAATGGTCAATTCGAAACAAACACTATTTAAATCATGACCACCTTGTGGTTACGGTAAACCACAGCCGTTCTAGAATACCCATTCGCCGATTCGCAAAAACCGGGATACAGATTTGATTCTTGGAAGAATATGTTTGACTGAAACTAGTTAATGTGCCAGTAACAAAGCGATGAATTTAAAGCAGAAATGAAGATTTGTAATTATCTAAATAATCTGTGTCGCCAGGGGCAACGGTTAATGTAGTTTTCTATTTCGTATATCGTGGCCGAACTGTTGACCCTGTAATCTGTGCATGGGAGGACTGCGACGTATGATTACAATCGTTATCAGTCGATGCCACAAACTGTGAATTTAACGTTATTACTGTTTACATGCACCTTCAAGTCTATGTCGTGTTGTTTGTTTTATTAAATCAACATAATTAACATTTATCATGCATAAATGACAGGAGCAGTACACGTTACCACCAGAAAAGGCTCCAGTTTTTCAAATATTATACTAAAGTTTTGGGTTCTCGTACTCGTGATTATACTGCCGATCGGTTGAGATTTCATCCAAACGAATCTTTATGTTTTTTTTCTCTAATTTGTAGAGATTCATTCCAGTCACGACTGTAATACGATAAATTACCACTGCCTGGTACACGAGGGAGGTGATCAAAGCCACCCATAAAAATAAAATCGCTTGTATGAACTGATTATCTGATTTGACAACATACCAATTGTGACGCGAACATGGCTATTAAAATGTTGTCATTGATGAGCAAATTCCACCAAAGTAGACCTATTATTCAAGATAATACAGAACGTAACTACCATACTCAATAAATAGGGCAGTAAGTATTTGTGTATATCATAGAAATGCCACTCACGTTCCTCTCAAATCCATCTCCTTAAATCATTCCTATAGTGGAAATCTTTGTTTTCGAGAGGACGCAGTGACCCAAATTAGCATGCACATCCACTATTGTCCCTAACATTCAGATATGGACGTTACTCGCGTAAAACAAACAACCAGCATTGCAATAAACCTTAATGGTCCCTCGTGTCACCGTTTACATAGAGGTTAATGACGTCAGCATCCGTGGACCGTGGCTTGGCATCACGCGGGTTTGAAGGTTACTTATCTTGTCTGCGGATGTTCATCGTTGTTTTTTTGTTTTCTGTTTTGACATTGAAAATATGTTTCCTACATCATTCATTCGACGTGATTAGCAAACGAAAACATTATTCTCTATATTTGTGTCATTCTTATGCCGAATGCACGCATATTGGCCAAAAAATGCGTGTTCACCTATTTTAATTGCAAAACAGGATAACACAGTATGTCGCTTTACTTTTGTGAAATATACCGTGAAAAGAAACCAGATTGTATCTCAAACCCACGAGGTTATTTCCTTTGTACTGATTGAAAACTCTGCAAATAATGCATAGAAAACGAGAACGAAGCGAACAATAGACTGTATAAAAAATCATTTAATTTGCAAAATTGCGATTGAATTGCTGAAATATCAGATGATAGTTTTAGGATAATAGCGTGCCCGGATAATCCAAATTGTGCCAATTAATCATCGGTTAATTGCTTTTTTTCCTTTTCTATGTTAATTCTAGAAATAATACTCTGACGAATAACGATTACATTACAATTACTTATTGAAAATGATTACATACTTTTATATCTAATTTAAATCAACATAAATAACTATTCACGGTTAGTTGATACAACTAGTTACGGTTGGTTGGTAGGTTGGTTACCAGTGAAATAACATTCTGATCCATACTTTCACGGTATATGTACACCTGCAATCTAGTTTGTTGGCAGCGATATGCCCAGCTGGCATGTTA